AAAAAAGCATTTTATTTGGTAGAGAAAAACACTTCAAAGGCTTTCCTTCAATGGTATGTACATACACACACACACACATATATATGTACGTATATGTGTGTGTATGCATATATACATAATACATATATGTGTGTGTATACGCATATATTTAGTAACCACACAAAGAATGCTACCATCTGTTCTCTTAGCTTTAGATCTCACGATCCTGTGAGATATTTGATAGGGCTAAGGGATCAGTATGTATCCAGGATCAATGACTATTCTGTGACTGGGATTATGGGTATCCGAGGTCGGCTTTGGGGTCAATCTGTGTCCAGGACTAGAATTTAGTCCATGGCTTTGGTCAGTCTGAAGGAGACAGTGTGGTTCAATAGAACCTGGACCTGCATCCAGACACTGACTCCGCCACTGAACGCCTGGGTAACTTTGTCAAGTCACTTCACCAGACCATAGCGTTAGTTGATTACCAAGCTCCTTCCAGCTCTAAATCTCAAATCCTAGTGCTGGGCCCAGTCTAGGACCAAGCAATAGAATTTCTCTGCGTGGAAAAGAAACTCACCCAAAATGACTTAGTAGTATGCGTGCCCTTGGATTCTACATCTGCTTAATCACAAATCCCTGGAATCCATTAGGTGTGTTAACACAGAGATGAGTTCAGCTCTGTGGGTAAGGGAGGTCTCTTTTTCATTATTCAGAACTGTGAGCTGAATAGCCAGGAGCAAAACCAAGGAGTCATCTAGACATCTTGTTTCTAGTTCTGGTGACTGGACTCTTTGCTCATCCCAAGGCCACTGTTGCCCATGACCCCTGAGTCATATACAAGAATCTCAGCATTGGAATGGGCTTCTAAGACTCTCTTGTCCTGGTTCCTGTAGGTACAACTATCCTGTCCACAACACACCTGACAAGGGATCGTCTAGCCTTTGTTCAAAGGAAGGAAAAGACCAGCAACAGAGGTGGCTCATTCCAGGTCTGAATCATCTCTTGGATGTGTCCTTTAGAGCCAGAAGGAGCTTAGAGATCATCTAGTTTAATCCTCTCATTTTACAAATGAGGAAACTGAGGCCCTTCTGAGATTAACTGATTTGCTCATGGTTACACAGCTAGCAAATGATTGTGGGATTGAGCCCAAATTCTTCAGATTCTAAGCTTAGTATTTTTTTTTCCCATGGTATAGTGAATAGAGCACTGGACTTGGAGGCAGGAAAACTTGAGTTCAAATCCAGCCTCAGCTACATAATGATAATAAATAATAACAAAATTTATATGGTGCCTACTATGTGCCAGCTAAATATTTTACAATTATTATCTCATTTGAGACTCATAACAACTCTGGGGGGATAGGTGCTATTATTACCCTTATTTAATAAATGAGGAAACTGAGGCAAATAGAGGTTAGGTGACTTGTCCAGGGTCACACAGTTAGTAAGTGGTTGAGGCCAGGTTTGAACTCAGATCTTCTTGACTCCAGGCCTAGCACTGTATCCACTGTGCCACCTAGCTACCCCATTCCATCTCCATCTTTTCCTCTTCGACATTGATTTCAAAATTGTACTTAGAATTAACCTTCTCCATGAAAGCATAATGAAATAGGTTCAGGCCACCTCCTGGCAGACCCAGACTGAGGAGTAGGTGAAGAGAGCACCTGCGTACTGTCTTCTAAACCCCCGAAGTTACCTTTTACTACTTTTATGTATACATGTTGTTTCCCCAGAGAGAATTTAAGCTTGTCGAGGGAGGGGGCTATTTTATGTTTCTCATTATATTCACAGTGCTGGGCATATAGTAGGCAATTAATAAGTGTTTTTTGTTGGATTGTTGGCCTAGGGTGTTATACATAGGGTAGAAGGGACCCCCTTTTCTGTATATCTATACAACCATAGATTGGCTAAATTGCATCTCTTTCTGGAGAGGGAGGAAGGAAGACATATAGATAGAGACAGATAGAATGACTGACAGATATCTATGAGAGCAGCTTCTGACTCAAACATGTTCTACCAAACCCTGTTTATAGCCTTAGTTGACCAACATATGATTATGGTCTATAATTGCAGAAGGTTTAGTTTTGCTTTGTCTGCCTCCAGTGTAGAACAGCCTAGCACCTAACAGTTGCAGGCCACTTGGTCTACTCTTTGGATAAAGTTGACTTCCTAGGGATGGTTGTAAGTATGATTACTTTGCACACAACCAGACCCAGACTTGGACTGGCCAGTGCATAGCAGATGAAATGTACATGTCCCGTTGTACTCATATTGCATTAGTGAGTGTTTGTCTTTTTAAAATCAATAAGTGCTATAGTTCAATCATGGTTTCTTAATCTCTCTCTCTCTCTCTCTCTCTGTATGTGTGAGATGGATCCCTTAGGCAATTTGGTGAAGCCTGTGGACTCCTCAGAATAACGTTTTTAAATAATTAGAAGAAATGCTAAATTTCAATTAGGGGTTGGTGAAAATAAAGTGTAATTCTTTCCCATCCGAATTTACTGAGTCCCTGAAATCTTTCCACAGACCCCTTGAGGGTCTATGGACTCCATGTTAAAAACCCTTGAATTAGATTAAATGGATTTGAGGCTTTGTATCTGTTCTTTGAGATCTCAGACCTGAATAATAAGTTAAGTTGCATGTGTTATATTGAAGGTTCAAAGCCTCCAAGGGACGGTAACCTACTCTTCTCAAAACTTGTCTAAGGAACATAGATCCCTTGGGTCAGATTTGCCCCTCAATGGAAAGCTCCCTGGAGTTCCCTGATAGTCACCCATTCCCACCTCCTACGCTTCTCCCAATGGCTTGTGGATTTCCTCTCCAAAAATTATTCATCTGAGACTTTGGATTTTTCTGTTTACTTTCCTCTACTACCCCACCCTGGAGTGGTTTGTCTGCAACCCACACACCATTGGCCCATTAAATTGCAATGCTATTTTAATATCATGATGGAGACCTCAAAGGACCCAGTCTATACATGCAGGTGGCTTATGGATATCCAGCTTAGTCACTGAGTCTTATTTGGCTCAGTTTAATAATGATAACAACTAGCATTTATTATAGCACTTTAAGGTTGACAGAGCTTTACAAATATCATATCATTTGATCTTTACAACTCTGCGAGGTATGTGCTATTATCCCCATTTTGCAGTTGAGGAAACTGAGGCAGAGGTTATATTCCTTGCCCAGGGTCACAGAACCAGTAAATATCTGAGGTCAGATTTGAACTCCAGATCCAGTACTAGTACCACCTAGCTTAACTCAATGCTCGTGTTTTCATAATTTTCTTTTCGTATCCCCCCCCCCCCCGCCCCAACCATTCCATTGTTGCTTGTGTCTCTAGTTCAAGAATTTAGATAGGTGGAGAAGAGTAAGATAAAAATTCCAGGGTCAGGGCAGAGTATGGGCAAAGGGACAGAGGTGGAATGAGGATTTTATCCAAGGGAAGGAGGGTGAAATGCTGAGGGTATAAAGCCTATGATGTCCAACATAGGGGCCGAGGGTGGTGACTGGTTTTTCTCAGTCCCTTTAAAGGCTCCAAAGAGAGTGACTGACTTTGGTAGAAGAGAGGGGGATTAGTTGAAAGGTAGAACTTTTTCTTTGGGTGACCCCTTCGTTCCCCTGACGGCAAGATCCCCTGCTTGGCCTCCAAGCATCCTGCCTGGGTGGGGGGGGAGGCACCCTTTGACAGATGAGTTGGCTGACAGAGCTGGTGGCGTGGAGTGGTGGGGGTTGCTGTATGTGTGGGGGGAGGGCTTAGTGGGGATTTTTATTGGAAAGTCATCTCTGGCTTAATTGAATTGCACACATTAAACAAACAACTGCTGGAACAAATGGTGGGGAGAAGGAGGAGCTGGATTCACTGAAGAAGAGCTAATATTAATAAATGGGCCAATAGGAGGATTCAGAAACTTTCCTTATGGAGATTCATGCTGGTGTCACGATGAGCACCACAGGAGGCCCCCCTCAATTAAGGTACTCCCCCTCCCCCTCCCCTCTGGCATCAGGACATTCGTTAGAGGCTGGTGGAGTGTTCAGACTGGGTTATGGCAGGCTTAGCTCTCCTGTCCACACAGCCAGTGGGAAGCAGGGAATTGAAACCATTATCTGGAGAGCCAAGGTCAGGTCCCTGCTACTCGATGGATGGAGGGCACAGGGGTCAGTCGCAGCCAAGCTCCATCAATTCGTCAGCTAGGCTTTCCTGACTCCCCTGTGTGTCCAGTCCTGAGAGGACAGAATCCCATTATTTGGCACTAGGAGGGATGTTAGAGACAACATTCTCCCTGTGCTTTGGGTTCCTCCTCTGTGGCCTCTGAGGTACATTTCAGTTCCAGAACTGGGGTCCTATGATCCTATGATCTATGCCAACCTTTTCCAATCCAATCTAATCACCTAGGCAGTGAAGTGGTTAGATCACTGGGCCTGGAGTCAAGACCTCAGTTCAAATTTGACATCGGACACTGACTAGCTGTTTGACCCTGGGCAAGTCACTTAACCTCTGCCTGTCTCAGTTTCCTCAACTATAAAATGGGGACTATAATATCACCCACCTCCCTGCGTTATTGTGAGGCTCAAATGAAACAATATAGACCTGGCTGAGTTATTGGCCTCAGGTGGATCAGCCAGTATGTGTTATAGGCAGGACTTGAATCCAGATCTTCTGGGTGCTGCCTCACCATCTGTAAAATGAGGACTAATTCCTGACCTATCTACCTCACAGAGTTGTTGTGAAGGTAAAATGTGGCAATAGGTAAGAAAACACAGCATAAGATAGGGCTTAAATTTTTGCTGAGTTTTCTCTTTCTCCTTTCTCCTCCACCCTTTGGTGCCTCACTTCCTCAGGCCCCCTGGAAACTTTCTTATGATCCAGAATGATTTTCCTTTCCCAAAAGGAATGAATGCTGGGTCTTCTGTCAGCCTGGGCTCTCGTGTCCCAATTTTGTCCTCTGGTTGGCATCCCCTAGCTCTCCTCTTTCCCATGCTGTTCTGATCGAAATCTTCCATCCCAGGGAGAAGTAAATCCAGCCTTTGGAACAGAATTGGGGTTTTTAACTTGTTTATTTGTTTTCCTCTCCTCTAGGCTATGTGTCATGGAAGAAGAAACACTGGGCTAGGAGTCAGGAGATCTTTGCTCAAGCCCACCTCTGCCACTTCCTCGCTGGGTGACCCTGAATAAGCCAGTACCTTTCTCTGTAACTCAGTTTCCTCATCTGTAAAATGGAAAATAGTGATAATTGCATTACCTTCTTCCACTAGGCTGTGGTGAAACTCAGTTGAATTATTTTATCTGAAGCTCTTTGTCAGACTAAAATGCTATGTGAATATGAACTATTATATGATTTAAAAAATATTTTTTTATGAGACCTGTGATTTCACTGGGGTAGGGAGCTCCTGGGGAGGAATTTCTACCATTAATGCAGATTAAGAACTAATCTGCAGCATCCCTTTTTAGAGAGTTCTCTGGGGCTTTGAGAGGGTAGGTGACTTGTCCAAAGTCACATAGCTGGGTGGAGGTGAGACTTGAACTCAGACCCTCCTCACTCAGAGGCTAGCTCTCTATTCGCTAGGATATGCCGCCTCTATTTTTTTATTATTATTGTCAAGATGAGGATCAGGTGATGGTCTGGCTGCCGGGCAGCTCTGAAGTCTGTGGGTGGGAGAAGTGCATCAGGCAGTCAGAGACATCCTTTCTTGACTTTGTAACTCCCACAGCAAGCCCTGGTCTGTTATGAGGTGACATTTCATCCATTGGTGGGGCACCGGCTCTGAAAATCCATCTGGCTGTCTGCGGAGACGCTCCACTGAAAAGGCCACTGCCTCTCAGCCTAACAAACCCTGAAAAATAAATGAGAAGTCACATTTAGCTAGCATTTTATGAGGGTGCCCAAGCCCTGAACTGGTTTCTAGCAGATTAGGTTCCCCAGGTGCAATGACTACTGATCCCCCTCAGTGTTCTAGGGGTGACTTTCAGGGCTTGGGATCGCTACTGCTGTAGCTTCTGGGCCCTCACCAATGTGTTGCCCGCTATCAATCACAGTCATTTGAATTCCATTAGGTGTTAGAAAAAACTTACCAAAAAAGTGTTAGCAATAACAGTTGCCTTTAAAACTATCCCTTCTCCATTACTGGGGTGCACTCTCACCTTGCACAAACAAGGTCTCTAAGGAGAGTGAACTCAAAGGTAAAGTACCATTGTAGCAGAGCATGTGAGCAGAGAACATGTATGGCAATAGTTCCTACCTACTCCTGTCCCTGAAAGTCCTCTTCCCTCTTCATGGAATCCTTGTGAAATTGGACATAGTTCTAAGGATCAGTCCATTCTTAAGTCTGTAGCCCACAGGTCTTTCTGTCACAAAGGGTCATGATCCTTACAGTCACTATTGTCCTTGGGTGACTGTCTTTCCACATCTTTCCATAAAAAGGTGCACCCTTCGTTGAAAATCAATACTGTTCCAGTGACTACCACTGCTGTCTCCATTCATCAATAGAATTTTTCATCATAAGCCTCCTTTCTATATCCTTAGCACTTAGCACAGTGCCTGGCACATAACAGATGTTTAATAAATATTGATTGATTGATGGGACCTCTGGCTCCCCTGGACTCCCTGGTTATCTATACATTACCTTCTTAGAATACTCATTCACCTGAAATTGGGAAAGAATAAACACCAGAAAAACAGAGATGTGCTCACAGACGAATATTGACAACCACCCTTAACCCAACCAGCAGTTCGTGGCAATTCTTGCCTCGCTTACAGACAGAAAGAAAAAAAAACAGAGACTGAGAGATTGGTGGTGTATTGTCCTTTTTGTATGCGAACTCAGTTCTGCCTCAGCTCTTCCTGAGTAATCAATTCTTCCCAGCTCTTCAGACATGAATAGCTAGAAATAGGCTCCTCACGTTCCGTATGTTAGATTGGAACTGGGCAGGGGATATATTCTGTGTAACCTACCTCTAAAGGCAAATCTGGGAACTCTCTAAGGACTGGCCCCTTAATGGCCAGTCTCTTTTCTTACACTTGAAGCTTACCCTGTAAGGTTGTTTATTCTGATGTTACTATTCCCATTTTAGAGATGAGGAAACCAGAGCCCAGTGAGGTTAAGTGACTTTACCAAAGTATACGAGACCCTCTTATTCCAGAGCCAGAGTTCCTTACAGCTAATGAGGCAAGGTTTGAGCAGGGCTGTCTCTGTATGAGGATGCTTTTTAAAGATTTGACTGACGTATTGAACTTTCCTCTCTATCAGTAGATGTATTAGCAGTATATACATATATATTATACATACACACATATAGAGATACATACACATAGATACATACACGCTCTTGGATCCAGGAGGCGCCCTCATGTCTCTGCTTCCCTTTCCTTCTTGAGAACCCAGGCACACAAAACCACAGGTATGGGGGAGGAAGGGATCCTTGGGCATCCAGGCTTTCCTGTGGCTTCAGCATCTTCACGTACTGAAAGTCTCATAAAATCTTCATATACAGACTTACAGCTTGAGGAGATCTTAAAAGTCATCTAGTCCCAATCCCATGCATTTTTCAGATGAGCAAACTGAGGCTCAGGATGGTCAAGGGACTTGTCCAAGGTCTCAGGTACTAAAGATCAGAGCCTGTATCTGAATCCAGGGCTTCTTCCTTAAAATTCTGCTCACTTTCCATCAGGCATCAGGCTACTTCATGACTTAAAAATGTAAGGGAGGGTAGATGGGGTAATGTGGAGACTGTGGCTGATTGATTAGGATGAAGGGATCATTTAGAAAGAGATGTAGAGACTACAAAGGGGCCAACACAGCTCCACCAAGAACAGATCATACCATACTAACCTCAGTTCCTTTTTTCCAGGGTTGCTAGACTGATAGATGGAGGGGAAAGCTGAGGATCGAGTTGGCTTAGATTTTAGCAAAGCATTTCAGAGTGCTCACATGTTATTCTTGTGGATAGGACAGAGAGATGGAAGCCAGGTGACTGAACATTTTAGATGGTTCTAGAACTGGGGGAAGGATGAGACCCCAAATAGACCAAGGAAACAACCATGACTCCGTAGTCAGAAGGTGTGGATTAAAATCCTCCCCCCCCCCGCCAGACATTTAATACCTGTGCAACCTTGGACAAGTTGGAGGCATTTAAGATTAAAGTCAGAGGCACATATCATACTTTAGGTCTATGATATACCAGAACTCTGGAAATGTGAGAAAAGGTCCCTAGCAGAGTGCTAACATTTTACACATGAAGGTATACTTGTCATGTTTAGCAAATTTGCAGATGACACAAAGATTTCCATAGGGCCGGACTCTGACTCACTCAGATAAAATTTTTGTAATAGTAATATTAACATCTAGCATTGATATACCTCACAGTATTTCTTGTTTTATCCTCACAGCAACACTGGGAGATAGGTGCTTTAATTATCCCCATTTAATAGATGAGGAAACTGAGGCAAATAGTAATTAAGTGGTTTGCTCAAGGTAAGTAAGTGTCAGACATCGGATCTGAACTCAGATCTTCCTGACTCTAAGACCAGCATCTATTCATGGTACCATTTGGCTGCTAGTGTTATCCCCTCTAAGATTACTTCCCATCTACTCTGTATATCTCTTGTTTGTATGTAGTTGTCTGCATGTTGTCTCCCCCATTAAACTGAAAGCTCCTTGAAGGCAGGGACAATTTTCTACCTTTCTTTGTATCCTCATTGCTTACTGCAGTGCCTAGCACATAGAAAATACTTATAAATGCTCCTTAATTGATTAAAACTATACCTCTCTGCTGAGAGGTGGAAGGCATTAGTGTTCTGTGTTCATGACCTGTCTGTTCCCACATTCATAATATTTTTTCCAAGGCATTTTCACATCCTGTGAGGTAGACAAAGCAGGTATCATAATCCCCACTTGACAGATGAGCAAACTGAGTCTCAGAGAGGTGGCTTGATCTCAGTTCCTTGTCACAAAGTGGCAGATTGGGGACTGTGGCTACAACTAAAAGTGTTACCTTACCTGAGTGTCCTAGTTCTTAATGACTCACGGGCAAGGTCTGCAGTTTATCCCAAGTTCAACAACAATGATATCGATCATCTTCAGGCCTGCTGATGTGTTTGCATTAAAAAAAAAAACACAACACAACCAAATGTAAGAAGCCACAGTGGTGTGGGATCATGATGGTTATTGGCAATTAATTCATCAAGGTGTCTTGTTTAAGGGGAAAGAATGAGTGAGGTAGAGGAGATGATCTGGAAGGAGGAACCAGATGTCAAGAAGACACAAATCGAGACCACATCTATCCCCAGCTCTTGCCTCAATCAATAGGCTATAAGCAAAATGTGTCTTACTTGAGAAGGTTATTGGTTTCTTGAAAAATGGTAACTAAGAGAAAGATTATGGTATGCATGGTGACTAGAGATTTCCCAGGGATGTGCTATAGTCAATAGGATGAATATGTCTTCATATGACTAAGTAATTTAAAAGTGAAATATACGCACAATCATGAGGCATCTAGGTAGCTCAGTGGGTAGAACATGGGACTTGGAGTCAGGAAGACCAGAGTTCATATTTCATCTAAGATGAGATTGACTGTGTGACCCTGGGCAATTCATTTACCCACTGACTGCCTCAGTTTCTTCATCTGTAAAATGGGGATAATAATAGCACCTATCTCCCAAGGTTGTTGTAAGGCTCAAAAAAAAAAAGAATATTTGTAAAATGCTTTGCAAACATGAAGATGCTATATAAATGAGAGCTATTATCATAGTAGTCAACAAATATTCATCGTAATTGCTTTTCAGTCAGATACTGCGCTAGGCAATGGGATGCAAAAAAAAAAAAGGCAAAAATAATACCTGCCTTCAAGGAGTTTATATTCAAATGGAAGAGACAACATGTAAATAGTCAGTATGGACCATATGTATATATATGCATATATGTATCTCTATGTATATGTGTGTACATATATACATACATACACATATACATACATATACATACACACATACATATACATATGAATGGTAATTTGAGAGGGGAAGGCACTAGCAGCTGAGAGGACTGGGAAAGGCTGTCTGCAGAAGGTGAGATTCGAGAGCTGAGTCTTGAAGGAAGCCAGGGGGAAACTGAAAAGAAAATGTATAGTGTGTGTAGGGTAGAGTATTCCAAGCCATGCTGTGTGTGTGTGTGTGTGTGTGTGTGTGTGTGTGTGTGTGTGTGTGAGACAGTTATTCCAATGGCTCAGATATACATCTTTCATGATATACACGAATATACAATGTGCTATACTATATTCAATGAATGGAGATAATAAATAGATCCCCAAGAATAAATGGAGGAATATCTCTCTGAGCACCTAAAATTAAGATAGCCAGGTTGGTGCTGTGGAAAGAATCCTGAATTGGGAGACCAAGGGCCTGGGTCCAAATGCTGGCTTGTCTATTTGCCACCTGCATAACCTGAGGCAGTTCATGAGCATCTCTTGGCCTCAGTTTACTCATCTGTAAAATGAGGGGGTTGGACCAGATGGCCTTCCAATGTTCTTACCCATTCTAAATCGATATTCCTATGATATGAACAAAAACAACCAACCACCACCACAAAACCTTATTTGTTTGTATCACGCATTCACCATTTCTTTTGTATATCTATCTGTGTTTTCCTGGCCTCTGGTTCCTCCTTTCAGGTCATCTCATCTACCTTGCCCGTTCTTTCCCCTTTAAATAAGACTCCTTGATGAATTAATTGCCAATAACCTTCACGATCCCACATCGCTGGTTTCTTACATTTGATTGTGTTACATGTTACATGTGCTGCTATGCCCTGTGATTAAGGCAAAGTGGGTATTATCTTTGTCCCAAGAATAGGAAAAACAGAAAAGTTAAGTGACCTACACAAGGTCACAAAGCGAAAGCCTGGCAGAGCTGGGACTAGGTCCATGGAATGCAAACTTCTCCTCTCCCTCCTCTTCCTCTTCTTTGGCAGTTGGGGTTAAGCAACTTGCCTACGGTCCGGCAGCTAGCCAGGACCAGTGCTTAGTGCTCCATCTACCGCGCCATCTAGCTGCCCCACAATGCAAGCTTCTAGAAGACAAGACTGTTTTCCATTTTGCCTTTTCACCCCTCTTAGCCTCATGCAGTGCCTCATGCAGAACTGGCACCTAATGCATGCTGTATAACCCGCGTTGACATGAGCAGAGTCAATTCTGTGAGCAGCATTACATAACAGCCTCTCTCAAGGATGCCCAGGGCATCGTGTTTTTGTTTTTAAACCTGTCCTTCATTCTCTGATCAGAGCTTCATGCCCCAACACTCAGAGGCAGCCCTGACTCCTGTGAGCTGCCCCTTTCCCTAATCCATATGAGGGAGATGGGAACAGGGTGAATTATTTCACAAACTGAAGAAAGTATGTAGGTCTCTGGAAACTTAAGTGACTAATTCCCATAGAAACAATTATTTTTCCTGCAGTGTCTGAAATTTGTTGCAGCACAGTAAATCAAGTCATAGTATCATAGGTCTAAAGTTGGAAGGGACCTTAGATATCATCTAGTCCAACTCCTTTTGCAGAGGAAGAAACTGAGGCCCAGAGAAATCAAGTGATTTGCCCAAGGTTGCTGGTAGTAAGTGGTGGATTTGAGGGTCAGATTAAGGCCTGGGGATTCCAAGGTCAGCTCTCCAAGTTCAATCCCTTTCTACTGTACAATCCCATCTTTTCTACCTGGGACTAGCAACACAAAGCATGCTTTCCTATGGAGAAGGGACCTCTTGGGTGGGTGGGTGGGGGGTAAGATGGAGACCCTGGGATACCAGTGTGATGGAATTACTGAGGAAGTCACTGAATGAAGGGCTAGGTAGAAGATAGGAGGAATTTGCCCCAGCCTGCCATCCTATTTTAGATAATTATTCTTGCTATCTGGGTGCTAAGCTCTGCTGTTTTGTATCTACGCTGCCCGAGGACATCCATGCTCACTCAATGGGTTGTGCATATCAGTGTCCACTAAATTCATTGTCTTGTTGCCTGGGTCCTCTTCTTAAATCCTCCTTCCCCCTTACAGTTTGGTTTTCCCCATTCTTGGACAAATAGAAGGGATTCTGGAATGGGAGCTGGAGTTTTCCCAGTTTATCTATGGTATGACCTTTGGAATCCACCCATCAGTGTGTTGAGGCTACTTAATAAACAGCACTAGTACCTTCTTCCCCCTTTTCCACAATGACATTATTAACGAGGATGAATGGTCACCATAAAGTGCATTGTGAAGCAGTGACTTTTTATGATAAACTTGGCCTTCATAATTTTCAACATGTCAGGCAGACCCATGGAGGAGCTGAAGAGTGCTTGTCATGTCCTCTTTCTTTTGTCTGTCCTTAGGCTTGGCAGCCTGTTCAGGCAGAAGAGTTACTTTTGGTCATATTTTTTAGGAGACCAGCTTTATATTGATATAGAACACATCCTGAATAATGCAGATTTATTGTGATGCATAATAATAAAAAAAACCCCAGGTAAATCTTTTTCAATTGATGCTAGAGAGTTTTTAATAGCAAATTCTTCTTTACTGCTTTATCATTTTAAGATAATAATAACTCACATTTCCAAGTGATATATGGTTTACAAAGCATTTTCCCCAAAATAACCTTGTCAGGTGGTGAATAGAGCAAATGTTATTATCCCCAATATACAGAGTTAACAGCAGAGGCTCTCAAAAGAGATGACTAGCCTGAGGTCATGCCCCAGAAAAGAGCTGGAGACAGGCTTCTACTTCAAATATCCGTTGTTCTTTCTTTGGGGCCATGAAATCCTAGGTTTAGAGCTCAAAGGGACCTTAGAGGTATCATAGTATTGTATTACAGGTTTAAAGATAAAAGGGACCTTAGAAATGACCTAGTACCAACCCCCATCATTTTACAGATAAGGAAATTGAGACCTAGAGCTATCAAGTGACTTATTTGAACTCAAGTCCTCTGATTTCAGATCCAATGTTCTTTATGCTGACCTATCTATGGTTGTCCTGTATGATCATTTAAACATAATTTATGTGGAGTAATGCATTATGATAGAAAGACTAATAATTATGTGTTGTCTCCAGAAAGTCCTTGTTAAAAGACTGAGTATGGCTCAAGGAAGCTCCTATGGCCTTCTCCCATTGGCACATTTGTACAATGAGTTTACCAGATTAATTCATTTTCACCTTGGAAGGCAAAGAGAGCCTTCCCCTGAGGGGATAAGGGATGATAGGAAGAGAAGTAGGATTAAGAGGTTGTTGGTGAGCAGCTAGCTCTGAGGATGTGAGGGTGAGGGGGTGAGGAGGACAGTGAGACACACACACACACACACACACACACACACACACACACACACACGCAGACAGAGACAGAGAGAGACAGAGAGCTTCAGCAGGACCTTTCCTGATTTTGGCTGAAAGAGCCCTGTGTATTCGTACACTAAACAGTTGAGTGTGGCTCAGAAGCTTCAGCTAGGTTATCTACTGTCCATATAGGCAGTTAGGTGGTGCAGTTGGTAGAGTGCTGGTCTTGGAATCATGCCTCAGACACTTAATAGCAGTGTGATCCTGGGTCTGTCTCAGTTTCTTCATATGTAAAATGGGGATAATAATAGCACCTACCTTTCAGAGTTGTTACGAGGATTAAATGAGGTAATATTTGTCAAGATGCTTTGCAAGCCTTAAAGTGTTAATATAAATTCTAGTTATTATTATTATTGAAATACAAGACACTTCCTGACTTTATATATCCAACCAAAGAATTTAGTTTTGGGTCTTGGGAAACCCTTTGTCCTAGAGGTCAGAGTAGGGCAGCCTTATCTAGAGGCAGTGTAAGTAGTCATTTATGTAATGTGATTTGAGAACCACCAGGATATTCCTTTGTGTCTCCAAATATCTTCCTCTTAGCTAGCCTGTTGCTTAAGTCCCCTTGGACTCAGTTTCCTCCTCTGTCAAATGGGGATTACAATATTTTCCCCTTTCAACTCTCTAAGCTGTATGGAGAACCCAATGAGATGTTAAAATGTTTTTAGAAATCAGAAAGCTCCCTAGGCTTACAAAGAATCATTACACAGAATTCTTGCCTGGCTCATAGAGAGGAATGGACAC